GATGAAATTAGTTTCCCTGTATGGCTCCATGGCACAGCTCTTTATATCTGTTGCAGAAGAGATTGGTGGAGAACCAACTGGCAGTAGAAATGGTGTGTTTTTCTGCTCTGTGGGTATCACGGAACACATTAAAAAAACAGGTAATTTTTAATACCAGGATTAGGAAGAATACTAATATTGGTATAAAAAATCTTCAGAGTTAGAAGAGAGCTGAAAAAAGTTATATTTTGCAATGTACTCACTAATAAAATTAAAAGCATTATTAGCGAAAGCATTGATTTTCTACTTCTATGCACGATATATCATAATCACATCCAAAAAGGAGTATGAAAAGATAATTGGACCTTGTGATTGCCAAGTGAATCACTCATTGTATGGGAATGCCAAATAAGAATTATCCATTTAGCTCTGGTTGGCCATCCCACTCACAGTGCTTATTACACATTATTTTTTCCATAGAGAAATGCTGCTTGGCAAAAAGAAACTGCATTCATTTGCCTGATTCATGCTCTCTCATAAAACCTCTGTATTAACAGGGCCTGAGTATATGAAGTCCTCCATGACAGTTTCTTCAAAGCTGTGTCACTGCCTATGAGATGGTTGTGAAGTTGGCTTCAAAAAATCTAGTGCTAGCATTTAGTGCATCTAAAGCACTATCAGTATGGCCTAATTCCCCTGTAATGCAATACATTTAAAATTCAAATGCAGGTACTCCATTTTCCATATGTCACCAACAGGAGAGCTACAGAGAGAGCTCGAGTCACAAAGGGAATTTGTGTGCAAATGCAGGCCCTGCATATACTGGTGGAAAGCGGCAGAATACAAACGAGATCTGTGCAACATTTTATATTAAATCCTCTTAAATTGCAAACCTGTCCAAGTTCTATGATGAACCTAAAAGCTCAGCCTGGGTCGGTCTTCCCTCTTCTTTGCCACATCCAGTTCCTTCAAACCTCGAGATCTCTGGGGAAGCCAGACCTTGTGCAGACCCAGAGTGACAATAGTCCCACCTGGACGGAGTTTGGTTACTCTGAGGCCTTGTCAACATAACCCTACGCCAATGTGTTTTATCACAGTGCAACCATGTAAGCTAAAGGGCTTGGCCCTTCATTTCCCCTTGAGTTTCCAGGTTCAAAATTTTAGTCTCAAACCTAAGGCAATGTTCACGTGAGTCTCAGAGAATGAAAGCAGGAGCAAACAATGACAGTTTTGCCTGACGACTGCACAAAACTATGAAACATAGTGGAACTGCAAAAAGCCTCTTAAATGACTGAGAGGAAGCTATGGAAGCCAGGTTTTGGCTTGCAAAAATAAATATAGTGAGGCACGGATCCATTTTCCTTCCACTGGTAACTTCTGAAGTGTAGCTGATTCACATGGAAGATTCTGGTTTGGCTGCTATCAGTTGAAAACTCAAAATCAATGACACTACACATTGATATAGGCAAAGACAGAATATAACAGTCCCTACTGTACTTTTTGAAGCTTACTTTTTGTCCTGGGCTTCAGTGAGTGGTGGTGTTTTTTGGTAGCAGGTGAGGGGGCTACAACAGTGGCCCCCTGTGAGATGATTCTCAAAGCTTCCCTGGCTCCAAATTGGACCCACCTCTGGCCAAGGCCGAGCCAATTAGTGATGGTGTCTGCACCTCTGTGGTAACATATTTAAGAAGGGGAACCTGGGAAGAGTTGGAGTTGTAAGGAGGAGTTGAGATGGAGATACACACGTGAACACTGAGGTCAGTGGAAGGAAGGAAGGAGGAGAAGTGGGAGATGTGCACTGGAGCAGATACCCACCCTGTATCCCATGGTGAGATGGCAGGGCCAAACTCCTTTCCACCCATGGAGGTCCATGGTAGAGCAGATGCCGACCTGAAGCCTGTGGAGGAGCCCACATTGGAGGAGGTGATTACCTGAAGGAGGCCAGGATTGTGTGGGAAGAAGCAGCCCCCGCTGTTGTAGTTTGGCACTAGGAGGACTGCAACATGTGGTGGTGTCCCACACTGGAGCAGCTTGGGAAGGTCTGCAGACCATGGGAGGGACTCATGTTGGAGAAAGTTCATGAAAGACTGACTCCTGTGAGAGGGGAGCCATGCTGGAGCAGGGAGAGAATGCCAGAAGTTCCTCCGTGAACAGGGGAAGTGGCAACACTGACTGAACCCCCTATTCCCTGCCCCTGTGCTGCTTTTGGGGGAGGAGGTAGAGAGATTGGGAGCAGAGCTGAGGATAGGAAGAAGGGAGGGGTGGAGGGAAGGTGTTATCAAGATGTGGTAATGCTTTTTGCTGTCCTACTCTGTCTGTTAAGTGTTGTTGCTGTTAGTGTCTGTAATAAATTTATGTTCCTTTTTTTTCTTCCTCTAACCAGTCTGTCTTTTGCCTGTGACTGTAATCGGTGAGTCATCCCTCCTGTCCTTACCTCGAGTCCCAAATCTTTTGCTTTATTTTCTTCATCCCAGCGCTGGGGGGAAGATGGGAAGTGAGTGGACGCATGGTGCTTAGTTGCCTTCTGTGCTCAAACCACAACATTTATTTTAAAAGTATACTGTACTTTTCTTCTGGAAATGGAATTTGAAGATCATTTTATCAGACATGTTACAAAGTACAAAGAAACATCATTTGCACAACTCATTTTTAGCTAGTCTAACTTCAAGAAAGAAATCGGAGTTAAGGAAGAAGCACGAACCATGACATAAAAGCAATGCTTCCTGCTTTTCTAGATGATCGTATGCTCAGATTGCACTTAAAATTCTCAGGGGATGTACAGATTGAGATGAAATATTGGTTTGGTGAAATGGCAGTATGGAGATCGTAGCTGTAAGCTATTTTTGTAAAGCATAAATCAGTGCCTGAGCACCAAACCTTGGGAGTCTAGAATTCAATTCATATATTATCACTAATTATAATTTTTCACTTGACGATATATCATCAGTCATGCAAGCAGCTATAAGCTATTTTTACCACCCATAACCACACAACTTGTGCACAAGGCGATGACTGCTGAAAACTGCCAAGCGTAAATAAGAAAAAAGATATTTTTGTTATTGGTAATTCTGTGTCCAGTTGAGAAAGTGTTCCTTCTCACTACAACCCGGAGCATTGAACAGTTCTTTTCTCAAAATGTTTAACAAGGCAAGGCAAGCAGAGGCTCAGAGAATGAGATGCAGCAGCCAAGACTTGAGACTGAGTGACAGTTTGCAGTCAGCATGTTAGTTCAGTGATTTTTTTTCCTTAAAAAAGAAACACCTGAAAACACTGTAAGCAAGGATGGGGTACAGAGGCTGTGAGGGAGAATCTTGACAGTGCTGGAATAAGTGACTAATTAGTATGGAGGAGGTAAGACTTAAAGTTCAACGTGTTGCTGTGACTTGTTTCCTAAACTGTTGGCCTTCTTGATCAGTTAATTTTCAGAGTTTGCCAGCATGTGCCCTCATCTACAACCTGCAGCTGACAACATTGCCTCTGGAATTTGGTTTTGGAGAGCAGGTGCCAGCACTTTCACTCTGGGCTCACAACTCATCAGTGGCTCACAGATGTCTGCTGGCATCAGCCACAGATGTGATCCTTGCTTCAGTCCTCACTGTAGTTGTCTTCATCCCTGCTCCCCTGGCTGAAGTTGTCTTTCTGATCTCCCACGCTGCATTCTCTTTCTTCCTTTCCCACATTTATGTGGGTGGGAGCATTGCACACCCATTTGGTCCAAGTGCCCAACAGCATTTGAGGTCTATCTCAGATCAGCCTTACAGTTTTGAGGTTTTATTGGAAGGAATATATTTTTCTCCTTAATGTTATGATCAAGTTGCAGCAGCTCCAGCTAGCTGGACTTGCTCTGATATGACAAAGAGGAGTTTAGGAGATAAAATGGGCTGAGCTTCATCTCAGTCCCTTGCCTTTAGCCATGTTCACCGAAGCCTTGAACAAAACCCTGCTGGCTTCAGCCAGACCTGTGGGACCTCACTGCCCAGAGGGGTGATGTGATGGCCACTCACCTGCCCTGATGTTCTCAGATCTCACTGGCATTTGCTGTGGTCTTCTGGCCACTTCTTACGCTGGCAACATCAGCCACATCTGTGACCCACCGCTAGTAGTCTGCTGTGGGGGAGTTCGCACAGCTCCCTCTCGGCAGTGTGCCTAGATAACAATGGCTAAAGCGTGTGCACAACAGGGAGGTGAGTGTGCACAACAGGTGAGAACACAATAGACAAAGCTGTGCATTCTGGAAAGGTGGTTGCCCCAAACTGGCAACACCATAAGGAAAGTAGGAAGTTTACTTAAAACATCCATCATCTGAATTAAACAGTAGACAGGGCGTTACCAGGAGATTTATGAGAGTAAGAGTCAGCCTGGAAAGAAATCTCAAGGAAGTGTGAGAAGTTGTGACTGGGACAAGACCTGGGAATGGGAGAAGGGAAACAGCAGCCACCAAATCCAGGGCTGGTGCTGCCAGCAGCAGCCCACCACAGCCAGGTGGTGTGAGCAGCCTGCATGCAGCCAGCACGCTGATGTTGATGGGGTGTGGGGAGCTCATGGGGTGTGTTCTCACCGGTGGATGGATTAGTGAATAGGGTGCACGCATAGCACCCATGTCTCCCCAAGGAGAGGCGCATGAGTTGGGGAACCAGCACCCCAGAGGAGAGGGGATGCACCTACCCATGTGTGTGCATGCTTAGAAGTTTTGGGGATTAGTCATGGAAGGGCGCTTAGAAATTTTTAGGTGTTAACATTTGCTAAGTGTCTTGAATTGTGGTTTATCTGCTGTGTTGCTGATACCGATTCTAAATGTGTAGCTGAATGCTTGCCAGTTAGTTAAGTGCTGCTAATAATCAGACAAAGGTCTCCTATCCCCTCTGACATAGCTTGGAGAGTTGAGCTGTCTCCCTATGGGGCACCCTGTGCCCATCTCTCATACTGTGACCTCAGCCTGGAGTCATGGGGTGGGATTTCAGAAGATGACATTTCAATCCAACCTTTGGACCCCAGCAGCACCCAGCTTCTGCTCTTCCCTCATGTCTACAGTGAGAGCAATTAACTTGGTGCTTCCTGAGATTGAAGTGTATTTGGCTGGCTCCAGCATAGATGGCCAACTGGTTCTGAACCTCAGGAGTATGCTGGTGGACCCTGTTGTGAAGGTGGAGCTTGTGGGAAGAGGCTTCCTGAGGTGGCTTGAGGAGGATAATCCTGAACTGGACTACAACAAGAGTACAGCTTATACCAACCAGGCTGTCTATATCTCCAAAGATAAGACTTTCCACATAGAGGGTAAAACACTGTAATGAGGCACTGATTAACTGAACAGCATCTTATTGTTGGGCTAGAGAAGGTGGGGTCAGACCTTTTCCAGTGGGGAGGAAGTCTTTCTTCTGCCAATGTCCTTATGCTCTGTTTCTATCCCATGGCATACTCCTTGTCACTACATCATATGGCAACGGGGCTTTGTGATGATCAGTAGTGTTGTACAGAATGCAATATTTGAGAGTGTGAGCAGTCCCCCATGAGTTGGTGGCTGTATCTGTAAAGAGAATATTTGTTGCACAGAATTCTGTCACAACCTGTCTAGCAGCAAGTAGGAAACTTTAGTCACAAGCACATCACTGAAGCATTCTTTGGTCATCTAAAATGCTTGCCTTGAGTGTTCTTGTTGACTTACATGTCAGCAAGCATCCAACTAGTATACAGGCTTTGTTATATTTGCAGCTGTAGTGAAGGCATTACTAGAGTTGCTGCTGTATCTTTACTGAGAGAAAAGAAAAATGTGAGACAGTTGCCAGTTGCCCGGGACCGTATCCAGGTGGCTTTTCAATTTCTCAAAAGAAGGAGATTCCACAACCTCCCTGGGCAACCTGTTTCACAATGAAAAAGTGTTCCCTGATTTTCAGAGGGAACCTCCTGTGTTTCAATTTTTGCTCCTTGCCTCTTGTCTTGTCACTGAAAAGAGCCTGGCTCTATCTTCTTTGCACCTTCTCTTCAGATATTATACACCCTGACATGAACACACATAAATGCAGAGCTAACTATTTAAATGTACAGATTTATTAAAAAGAGTAAAGTTAGTGAGATGTAATGATCACCTAAGACAGTGAAGTATTCCAGGGGATGCTTAGAGCAAACACAAGCCTCTGAGGAGGTGCACTCCCCTTTCTCAGCTCCTTTTTCATAGGATCTGTTGGGAACCCTGGAAATTTAGTCTACAGATCACAGGCAGCTGCTGCCCTATATTAGTTTAGTACTGAAGTCAGACTGTGCCAATGTGTGGAAATTGTGCTTCTGAGTTACAACCTGCAGTGGTCAGGTCTCATTTCCTCTCAGACTTGAGGAGTCTATCTCACTCAAAGTTCATTTTCCCCTTACACATTCATTAGAGTCTTAGCCTTGATGTACTGCAGCCTGCTGATGCTTCCGGTAGGCTACCAGATGTTACAGCCCTGACAGAAAAGATGGGGAAAGGCTGAGTGTTGGAAAAATTATTTTTGCCATTATAAGATCAAGTACCTATAAAGCACCTCAGTTCTGGACCTTTTTGGTTAAAGGTCAAATTGATGTTGCTTCAAGACACACTTGAATCCGTATTCTGTCACTTACACATATGTTCCTGTTTTCAAAAGAGTTAAGCACCCACATCCATCAAGACTTGCCAATGCAGTACAGTTTAATAACAGATTTTTACTACTGCAACTCAGTCTTTTTCCTCCTTTTCCAGCATTGATTACATCTCAGTAGAAGTAAGTCCAAGAAAACCATTTTAAAACATGAAAGAAGGTACAGACCTGACTTTTCTTACCTCGAATACTCTCTACCCCCCACTACTGTTGTCATACAAGGAGTGTATATTTGAACAGATTGCTGCCTGTGTCAGCTTTTGACACTCCGCTGCTAATGTGCTCTTGATAGCATGTTACTGCCTGGTATTTGATCTTACCACATGCCCTACTTGGGTCACATCTGATGTCTCTGTAAGAAGTGTATATACATGGATACAGGTGCCTGCTGACATATTTCTTTTTAACCCTGGTAAGCCCTGCCACTGCACAAGAAACTCAGTATTGTCTCTCTGTGAGATAAAGACTGCTGGAGGAACTGAATCCTGGCAGTCACTGAATATGACTGGTAACAGCTGTAGGATAATTAGATCCAGAAAAGAAAAAGGTGAGTTTCAGTGCTACCAGGGATAACCAACCTCATCACCAGCAGAAACCCCCCCAGTCTGAGCAAACCAGAGGCAGGACTTCACAAGATCACGGGCAGTTTGAAACTCTTCAAACACTGCTGTGCACCACTGGTTACACCCCAGGAAATCCCTTGCGTCCTTCATAGAAAGGTCACTCCTCAAGTCACTCTTACCAGCAGCCTCTTTGCACTTTCCCCACAGCTGCAGCCATCACCTCCCTTGCTGGGAAATACAAGATGGAACACTTTTTGTATTAGGTAACACAGTAAACTATCTGGAATTGACTGAAATTTTCTGGTGTGGCTGAAGTTCCCAAGTTCTGATGAAAACCAAGCACATGGTGTCCCCAGGTGCCTCTGGGGAGATAACTCCTGGGAACACCCTCCCACACCTGCAGCTCCTGGGAACCTTTCCACAGTAGAATTAATTCTGTTGCATGGTTTCAGGGGAAAAAGGTTTTTGGAGCCCACATAGAGGGCAGCTGCTCCTGTGCAATGGGGCTTACATCCAGCAGCCATGGGGAGCCAGGTAAAGTGAGTGCACCTTTGATTCCAGGGAGAATTCAGGGACATTATTTAAGGCCACCGTCCTTTTGAGTCCGAGGACCCGTGCAGAAAGTTAAGGGCAGCTTAGCAAGCGGGCACAACTCAAAGCAGTATTTTTAGAAGTGATGCAAAACAAGACAGAGAAAGTGGGATTAAAACTGTACATAGAATGAAATAAGTATCGCAAGGCTTTTTGCACTGAAGGACCTACTTCAGCCCTGCACACAAAGCCGGGCTCTCAGGCCACACCTGCAGCAGGGATTGAGAAATTTGAAGTCTTTCAGTAAATCCCCACACTGTGCTGGTGCTGCAAAACCAACCACTCACGCCAGTGCCCAATTGCAGATCATTCCAGGAGGGGAACACTGATTTCTTTCAAGATTAAATTGCAGATCTGCTCACAGTTCAAAGTCCTTCCTTCTACCACAACAAGAACATTGCCAAAATAACTTAAAGACAACACCGTGTGAGATAAGGCCCTGGGAATATCAGGTTTCTACAAACTGTCAGAATAGAGAACATGACTTTTCATATATTGCAGTTATCTAAGAGGTTGGTGAATTTTAGTTTCCTCCCTTTCAGATTGTTTTAGGCATTTTTATTTTTTTCTTCAGAGTTACAACTCTGATTGAAAACGCTGTTATGCCATCTGGTAAATCTCCCATGCTGTGAGGAAACAATATCCAACCTCTTCTGCCAGCAAGAATATCCAGTTTAGATTATTAAAACTCGAGGCATCGTTGAATTAATCTGCAAAAGGTTACAGTCAGCAAGAAAAATTCTATCAGTCTCACATCCCTTAATATTGTTGTTCAAAGTTTTGGCAGAAGCTACTAGGAGGAAGGAAAGCTTACGTCTGGATGATAAAGCTGCCAGCAGATACATGTGTTTAAAAGAAATAGGTCTTGGATGAAGAAAAGAGTCAAGAGCTGGTCTTACCTGGTCAGAAGGGGCCAAACTTATCCTTGCATAGGTGGAACAGTCTTTCATTACAGTCAGTGGTACCTCACCCACACAAAACTGAATTTGATGAAGAGAAAGTGGCAGAGATGCAAAGACATTAGAAGGAACAGATTAAAACTTTCCCATCCTGCAGTTGTGCAGAGAAGGTGTCAAACACTATTTTATTGTGAGTGGGGTCTTTTGCACAGCTGAGACAAAAGTTTCAGATAATATTCACAGGTGTTATAGACAATGATAAAAGAGGGGTGAGAGTTATTACACCTCTTTACTCCCTGAAAGCCTATTAGTTCTTATTTGCAAAGTCAAAAGTCTGTCGCACTCCATTTTGTTAGGTGAAAATCCTAATCACTGTGAGGAGCTGCAGGTTTGCTGACCTTGTGTTAAAATGAGGCAGATGAGCAATTCTCAAGTCTGCTGACTGGCAAGGGTCCATACATCCAGCAGCTGACCTGCAAATGCAATGCACACTCCACCCCATACCATGCCTTTATGGCACTTTGGGGGCAATACCAGATGGTCAGGACACCTTGGATTCTGGGAGAAACATCAAAGTTACTGTAAGGTACAGACATCCTAAATGTTTAAAAGGCTTCTGATAGCAGCATGTTGTTTGGCTTTCAGATGGCTGGCTGGATTCTGGGGTCCACACCTTTGATTTCCACTTCAGCTTTCCTTCAAGAATTCCCTCCACATTCACCAGTAAAATTGGCTACATCTCCTACTTTGTCCAAGGGACTTGCTGCAGCCGCCGAATCGTCTTAGCTAAAGAGGAGAGATGTTTACTGTTGCAAGGAACTGATGCTGACCACAGAAGACACATGAAAGACAAGGTAAGGGGAACAAGCTATCTGAGTTGGAGACCACAGACTTGCCCTGTTCTGATGCAGAGCAGGATCTGCTTACTACTGAGTGTCCACGAACTTTTAGCTCTGAGCTTCCTCCTTTTAATATTTAAATGACACTTCAGTATCTTCTGCCATCTTTGTCCTAGGGCTTGCACCAAGATGTTTATTTTCTATCATACAAAATGCATTGTAAGACTTCAAGATGTACATATAGGGAGTACTTTGAGATCCAGGATGAATGAAAAAGAAGTTTATTCTCTTGCTTTGAAGCCTAAGCCTTGGGCAAGCATCACCAAATAGGAGGTGCCTTTTTTACCAAACTCTGTCTAGACTGGGACAGTCAGTCAAAGGTCATCAATACAGCTAGAATATGATGATTCTAATAATTTTGTGGCCTGCCTCTAAATTTGGGTATGGATAGCTGTGACAATATTTACATGCACAGATATGAATTCTTTTCACAGATGCTCAGAAGGATCGTGATAATTCAGCCATGTCATGTTTTGGTGCAGTGAGGAAGACTGTCCTCTGGGCCAGTGGTGGGGCTTGTGGGGAAGAGCTGAGCAGCCTCAGCCGACTTTGGGCATGTTAGGAGTTTGGGAATCACCCGATATTCAGCAACAAGAACTCACCATGCTTTGCCTTTCTGCTCACTCTCTTCATGCAGGCCTCACTGGTGGTGGAAGCTAGGAAGGATGTGGTTTATTTCTGCTGCTTCAGACATGGCTATGTGATCCTTCGGATTTCCCTGGAGAAAGGTGTATTTTGTCCTGGAGAAACCATTGTCTTCATGACAGATATTTCCAACAGGACATGCAAGCACATTAGAAAGGTCATTTTTGCTGTATACTGCATTGTCCTTTATCATGGCTTCAGCACCAAGGGAGAAAAACGCTCCTTGGAAGACCAAAGTGAAGTGACGAGGTTGGAGTTCCAGACAGACACAGCTCCCTTTGAGGCCATGAGAGTTACTGGTGCGCTGGTTCTGCCGAAACCCATGCCTGTCACCAGCTCTCTCATGGAAAATAAAATCATGGCATTCAGGTATGAGCTGGTAGGCACCTCTGACCTTCTTTGTACCACATCCACCATTGTGGTCAGGGTGCCCATCACTATAGCAGCCACATCGGAGCATTTCTCTACAGAGACACTGCATGAAAATGAAGGTGACATCTCAAAGGGGGTGAAGCTTCACAGAGACATTTCTGAGACCGACCCAGAAGCAATTGCCAGCAGATCCACGGAAAAAAAGATTTTTCTGCAAAACCTGCACACGCTAGCTGTATGCTTGCACAGGAGGAGCCCGCTTTTGCAGCAACGCACCAGTGATTCCCAAAACAAGAGGGGTAAAGCTAGACAAAGCCCAAGGTCAGGAAGGCACATATGAGGAGCCTGTAATTCTGTTCATGTGGTGCCTGATAGATGGTTAAGGAAGAGCAGAAGACTCAGCAGTGGTCTAGGCAGAGAGGGGACACTTTGCAGTCCCAGAGGATGGCTGTGCTTCTGTCTATGGGAAAACAGCTGCACACACCCTCCGTGAGCGGGTGGGATGTGTGGTGTTGGGGGGAGGCTGACATAGCCAGCAATCACCCTGCTGTGCAGAGGGATTGGGGCAGGCTGGAGAAGCAGCCAGTCCTGGGGACATGATGTGTGTGTAGCCCACGCTGCAACCATGCATATGTATGTGTCGGTGTGGATGACCAGAAGGTTTTGGGGTTAGAAGGTTGTTTATTAATATTTGATAAGTGTCTAGTAATGTGGTTTGTCTGCTCTATTGCTGGTATCAAACCTGAATGTGTAGTCCACTGATTGCTGGTCAGTTAGGTGTTGTTAATTGAATAAATCACTCTGATCCTGATGCGATTTAAGCCATGTGAGCTGAGCAGCTTTGCCCTGCAGCAGGCTGCTGCTGTGGTTTGCCCCAGTGGGTGCCACCCAGGGACAGCTGCCTTGTCCATGTTCCCTGCGGGCTCCCACCATGTGCCCAGGCTCTCTGGGGAGCATGGGCAGGGCAGCTGGCCTCCATCGCCCCTTGGCACAACCTCAATCCCACAGCAGGGTTCTTGTGGCAACCATCTGGTGGGACTCACCTACCCACACAGGTGTGTCCCCAAGTAACACTTGCACTCAAGCAACACCTCCCATCCCACAAGCCCATGTCTCCACATTTTGTTCCACAGAAAGAGAGTGAGGAGTGGAGAAGATAAGCTGAAGACCATTGGGTGCCCCTGCGCCACCTTCCATACCTGCACTTCCATACCTGCTGTACCCAGCAGGACAGGAACAAGAAACCACCATTCACCCTTCAATTTGGTGCCACTAAACACCTTCATCCAGCTCCGTGCCCCTCACCTCCAGCCCACCTGCTGTGCTTTTGCACCATTGCCTTCTGACATGACATTTTTGGCAAAAGCCAAAAGCCTTTCCCGGTCCCCAAACCAAAATAGCCATCACCAGACAGGCTGGGAGCAAAGGAACCATGCCAGGATCTTGCTCCTGCAAGCACCAAGGGCCCCATGCTGGGGGATGCTGACATCGGCATGAGACAGAGTTCTCACAGGTGAAATGCACAGGAAAACAGAAACTTTTCTAATGGGATAGAAGATGCAGGATGCAGCCCCGCTACACCTTCTGGCCCCATCACCAGGGAGCCCTGCCTTTCTCCTCCCACCCATTGAGACTGCTTAGAAATGAGATTACACTGACCAACTCTAATTTATAGCAGCAGCAGGTCTGTTAGTGGTGACTTCCCATACGCTTTCATCAGCAAATTGCCAAGCAGCCCTAGACCAGGGTTTTGCACGCCCACAGCTATCTCCATAGCTGCCCAGGTCCGTGGCCAGTGCCATGTGGCATGACACAGCGAGGGAGCTCGGCGCTTCTCCCACCGCCTGCCTTTCACCATTCCCTGTGTGTGCACAGATTGACCTTGATCTGCAAAACACCCCAGCCTGGCTGTGCACAGGCTGAGACACCGCACAGCACTTGTCATGTTCTGCTGCTCACACGTGCTCTCACCGGGCTAACAGTTCCCCTCATCTTGCCCCTAAAAATAGTATTTATCACACTGACACTGGCAGAGCCCTTTCACATCTCAGCCAAGACTGTATATCAGGACACTACGTGAAGAATCCCATTACAAATAGATTGTTGTCTTACAGGTCTCCTTGTTTCATTGTTCAAGCAAAAATTAATGCATTCACAGTGTATATGACAGGAACATGTTAGAAGAATATTTTTCACTGCTTGTCTTTTGAACTTTCAGCACTGCTTCTCAGTGATACTTGATACAGCTGGAGGAAAAACACAGCCCGATATAAATTTTGAAGTTGCCAACACATAAACACTGGAAGTCCTTGCATTTTGTATGAGAAGGATTTTAACTGCTTCCTTTTTGCAAAATATTATTTGCAAAGAAACAATAGGATGTCAACATTTGTGGGGATAAAAGAGCAGCTTTCTAATTTCTTTGCATGTTCCTTCCTTGATTTGAAGCACTGTTGAAGTCTGTTTTCTAGACTCACAATGTCTAAACTCAGACTGACATCAGCAAACTCCAAAAGGCAGTTGAGGAAGAAGTGAGGTCTTTCACTTCTCATTATGGTCACCCATAATGCAGGCATTTTCATGGCAGGAGACCATGGGTGTCTGATGCTAGCAAAACTGCCTTCTGATTTCAAAAACTTAATTTCTCCAGATGGAATATATACCAAGGTAGAATATGTCTAATCCTGTTCCTGGAATGTTTTATGTCACGTATGTGTGTGTGAATCTCATGAAGAAAATAAAGCATTTAACAGCAATAAACTGGAAAGACCAAAGTCCTAATAGAATAGACAAGCAGTGGGATATCTGACTTCTGGGAACTTGGACAAGTGATTTTGTGTTTTAGCATTTTATTTTCCTTTCTACCTTTTCATGTCTCTTGTACTGCAAATCCTTCAATCAGTTCCTTTCCAATATTTTTAGTCTTATTTGTCTAAGGCACTTACATGCTATTGTGGTATAAATAGTAACAAGAGCAATATGATGAGTGGGTAGTTTGACTAAAGTACATTTTTCCAGCAGACCACAGATGATGGAACAGAGAGGTCTCTAGGAAAAGTCTTGTTCACTTCTCCAAAGAGATGGTGGATATTTTTATGATGTAAAGTTGGATTCACCAAAACATCAGGAGTGACATTTGGGATATCCATGTTTATTCCTTCATGTGCTTTTTACAAGGCACTAAAATACACCCAAATGAACTACATGCTCAGAAGTCTAGTCAGACCGGTATTACACTGTGTCTTTGTAACACCCTTCAGAGCAACAGGACTAACTGTTCAGGTGCAGTGACCTAAAATAGCCCCATAGCTCACATGGACCCAAGTTTGTACCTTTGGATGGCCCTGCATAAGTTAGTTGCTAACAAAGGACTCACCACTGTGCTCTCTTACATAATATAGGTATCACCTGAGCTTGAAGACTAGAAAAAACTCCACTCTTTTAGGTGCAACAACACATACTTCCATGGAGATTTTATTAATTATGACACACTAAACCTACCCGTAGTTGATAGGTTCAACAAATAATTATATTTACTCTTGTAGGCGGACTTGCTGTAAAAATGGAGCAGCAGGTTACTGTCGACTTCTGCTACATCTGCTCTATCTGCTTTTATATAAATAATGAAATCTCTAGACCTTGGAATATATATATATTTTTTTTTAAGTTCTTGAATGAATGGTGCCTGAAGTCTCTCTCCAGGACCCCATAGGAAAGAGTTTGATGTCTGCCCCCTTTGGGTTTATTTTATTTCTGAGGAGTAGCTTTGCTATGGATCTGGTGAGATTTGTGTGGGTCAGAAGTGATGGAAAGTGTGGAAGGGAAGTGAAAGAGACGGCACACACAAAGGGAAAATGGCTATATTGTCTGCTCACAATTTAATTTTAACCTTGCAAAGATTTTGGAAAACATTCAATTTTTTTTATAGCTTCATGAAGCAGAAATAGAACGTTTTCCAGTCACCATGGGAACACAGAAACAATGATTACTGGAAATTATCCGTACTTGTGGCATCAAGTTTGTGATATCTCTTGATGACACAGAAGTTAAGCCACACGTGCATCCTCAGCAGTGTTACCTGGCAAGGCTGCCACAGCCAACAGGGGATGAACCTCACAAAGGTCCTCAAACATCTGGAGCAGCTGGAACTGCTGAGGTTCTGGAATATAAACTCTAGTTACTGTTGGCTCAAGCTATACCTGCTTTCAGCAAATGATTTTCTAAGCAATTAAATACTGAAACTGTGACCATGTTTGAGTATGTGTTTTGTATTCCAAAAAACAGTAGCCACAAGCACATCAGCTCCCTTTATGTCCCCTTCAATCTCTCAAAGGAAAGGTCAGCAAGGCATGCAGTATCTCAGAAGCAGTCACCATTAGCAATGGAGATGTTTATCTCTATTTAAAGGGAGGGAGAGTCCTTCAGTATTTTTTTAAAAGCTGTTTTAAAATAAGATAGTCTCTTATTAACTAGTTCATTTGCCTTTGTCTTTCTATCCTTTAAAATTGCACAAGTTCTTCAGATAAGCTACTGCTTTAAGACACAAATGTGGATTAAATGGTATTGATTTGTTTGATCTTTGTACATTCATCCTCTCCTTTACTGCTTAAACCTCCTGCTTTTCTGCAAAGTTGTCAGTCTCCTTTTCACATTTCTTTAAGCAATCTGTCACCTTCCCAGACAAGAACTTGAATGGGGCCAGTTTTTTTCCAATTGCTGCTGCTAGACTTGCTGGGAGGAAAGGGCTCTGTAGTTGTACTAGGTAAACCTTAATTAAAACAAAACAAACCCCTGACCTGCCTAGCCTTCATCCACATTACATGCAAGCATTGGATTTTAATCTGTTTTTCCTTCTGGAGACTGATTCTAACACTCTTGTGTGTGCAGACATATATGAGGCCAGTAATAGAAAGTCAGTATGAATGGAAGTCTGAGAAGAAAGAAGTATTTTCTTCAGTTAATATATTTTTCAGTTAATAATGATCACAGTATGGTTGTATAGATTAATGACTCACGCAATGCATAAGTTCAGCTATTCAATTTGTTTCCTACTGACCACTCCAAACAGGCTTTCCAAAAATTTAATAATCCATTCTATTAATGGGTGGTACTGGTTCTTCTAGATGAAATAAAATAAAGTATGACTCTTTCATGAGTAATTTTAAACATTCACTCAGGGTAATTGATGACATGAGCCAAGGATTGCAAATTGAAGAGATAATTGACTTCTTCAATATGCAAATATAGTACCAGGCAATAAACAGATACCAGTTACATCAGTATGAAATATAATTACAATTAACTTCAGCATCACAAAGAAACTCTCTTGATTTTCTTCAA